GGTATTGTTAGCACACTAGTTTTGCAATTTATATAATAAGAGATAAACGAAGTCATTCAGTTGACTGCCAGTATTGTTTAGCCTTCCTCGAATATCGCGAAAAGAATTGTTTGAGACTTTTTCGTGGAAATATATACAATAATCAATACTTTTTACAACACCATTCGAACGAGCCGCGTTGTAAATTATTCAGTGGACGTATGAGTCATTACTTCGACGCAACGCGAATATAACGGCAAGATTGTAGAAATCTCGTTAGTTTTCTGATATAGCTTGTTGAATCGTGTCTGAGCAGCGGTGATTGAACCCTCGATCGATCTTTCCGAGTTCCCGTGACCCTATGGGTCACGAAACCGATACATGTATTTGTCTTAGGAAGCTTAAAACTAATATAGCCAAGCTTCGGGAAATTTCTCAATTAATTCCAAAACATCAAATTTTTTAATCATATACGACGATCACTTACGATATTTAGAAATTTAATAATGTTCTTTTTATTGAAACAAATTTGGAAGAGATGGGATGATGTAATACAAATCGATCAGACTGACATTAAAGTTTTAAGTAAAGTTAATGAGCATTATTCTTATAAAGTTGTTTAATCACATGAAATTTTTAGATGTTTTTCTCCTTATTATAGTTATTTGTTACAGCAATATCTGTAACAAAGTATGCATTTTTCGTGTACTTTTTTGTGATAAGTGCGATTTTTTATTTGGCGCCATTACGATACAGGAAGATCATGCAGTTAATAATTACTTCATAGTTCGCGATATATGACGCGATATATGATAAGAGCAGCAATTTCGAATAGCATATTAAAGAGATTAATGCGATATTGCAGTATATCCAGTCGTTGAAGATTATAAACAAGCTGATTGCGATGCGATCATTTTTTTTTGCACAGAGATAAAGAATCAATATACAGAAATAAGTATTGCATTAGACGTGGTTATATAAATCGCCACGAATGATCGATCTTTTTGCGAAATAACATATTCGATTAGGTCATAATTCCTATTGAGTTAATAAATTCCATATTTATGTTTTACTCTAAACTATAAGTTAATTATTGGTACATTAATTATTTGTAGATAATATTTATTTATTTATTTTTTTTGTTAAATTTGGGATGCATTTTATATTATTTAAATATAAAATGCATCCCAAATTATATGCAAATCGATAAGAATTGAAAGTCAAAATTTTAGAATTTATTTTTTTAACTCTTAAACTATAAAAAGATATTTTTTGATATAAAAAAAATTAATAATTTCTAAAATATTCTTTATAATGCATTATCTCTCGAATATTTCTTCAAAGGCATGAATAATATATATTTAGTATTATTTATTCAGTATAATATCGAAGCGCGAGCTTTTTAATCCATTATCGATAACGCGATATATTTATAATTATTTTTATCATCATCAGTTTTGCAATAGCCATTAAATATTTATACATACTTATTTTCCGAAGGAACTTCGTGTGAAGGTCTTTCGAAATAATTAAAATTTAAGGAAATCGTTTAAATATAGAATTATCTACACATTCCGAGTATTGCTGCATCACATTTATATTGAGATTTTATTTCGATCGAACGTTCGGCGTGTTGTGTTTATCGTTTGATAATAAATCACCTATTATAATTTGGCATAATGACGTGTCAGACTAGAGATAGCGGTTGTAGTGGAAGATAATAGTTACGATAAGTACTTGGCTTGTCGGAAAGTTTTGTCGTACTTCCGCGCTAATGGATTATAAATCGCCAGACAGCGTCGTATGTTCTCGAACATAGTTATGTGAAAATGTCCACCTGTTACGAAAGTTATTGAGACTTCTATTTCATACTAGACATGTAAGGTCTTAGAGTAATAAGTATCTAACTGAATAAGTAAATAATCCGCCTTTAAGAGTTGATATTGTCGCAAGTACTCATTCTCTATACATACACTATCTCATAAGAACATGCGATTGAAGAAATGTTAATGAAATTGAACGATTAAAGAGATGTGTATGTATATATGCATCTTGAAACTATATTTGACAAATATTGAAATTTGAAATTAAGTCATTTCACGAATTATTATTCTTATTGATTATCATACTTTTTGTACATTTGACTTTCTCATTCAAACAGAAGTAAATTGACGTAAATTGGCGAATTAAGCGTGGGTGTGTAACGAAATGTTAGGTTGTGTGCGATACTAATGAGCTTTGTGAATTAATTTAGAATAAAGCAAAGGGGATGCACGTGCGATAGAAGTGAAATGTGTATAACGTGTATAACATTGTACATGTATAATAATCTGTTTTCGTTACACGAATGAATTATAATTATACTTTAAGTTGCCTCTATGCAGAACTATGACTTTTTTAAAATATATTGTGATCACGAAAAACCTTAAATTAAAATGTCAGAATTAAATCTATAATTTAAATGTAACTGAAGCGTCAGGTTTCTTTAGTTTTTACATTTTCCATATTTTGAATGAAAAATAATTTCATAATTACGTCTCTTATTTTCAAAATCTGAAATTTTGCACAACATTCTGTAAGTAAACGTTTTTCAATAGCGTTCAATTGAGCAATTAGAATTACTTTATTCAGTGCTTCTGTGTGCTGTTTTGAGTAACCTCTTCCTCTTTATTAAAACCTCAAGACAACTCTTTGTCGCGTTCATAAACAAGGGTTAATCACTTGACTACTCTTTTTAACGGGTAGTTCCTGCATGTATTGTCCCTTCTCATTCTTCTCCCTAACTCGTGAAAGTGAAATCAACGACATAGGGTCTCCGACGAGGGTGATATCCGGATTAATTATGACAACTGCTCAGGCTTCTTTTCCGCTCAAGATCATCGAGTCCATGAGATCGCCACTTTGGTTGAAAGGATCATTATCGAGATTGAGAAAGTTGTCGCTTTATGCGTTTATCAGCACCAACCGAGAAGTCGCATTTCAAGGATTCTATCTTTTGACCTCATAAAAGTGATATCCGCCTCGAGGATCCCTTGCCTGACGTTTCTCGCATTAAAGATCTTTAGGATGCAACCGTGTTAGGTTGTCCTGGAAATTCGCGGTTTTACATTGAGTCATAAATAAAATTGTATTATTGAGTATCTTATGTCTGCCTCAAAGGTTTATTCTGCAAAGGTGATTTCTCCAATTAATTTGAGGATAAATTTTCCTAGTTTTCTAGAAACATCAAGAGAGACGCTATATATACTATATAAATGTTTAAATTTCCTCATTCTCTATTATTTTTCCGTTATAATCGAACTTGGTAAATTCTGTACTTTTTTTTTTTTTTTATATATAACAGAATATAAAACGAATATTATACTCGACTCGGAGCTGCCAGAGCTGAGAGAGACGCCGCTACAAGTACAATTGTATAATCACGGATCACTTCTCGCGAGCGCTCTCGACTGGTTCCAGACTATAATGATGAGCGTAAACTACCATTTTCTGCATCGTCCATCGTCGGACTGTAATTTGTTCAATAAACGTGAACGATACTTAGCCTTAACACCGAGCGTCAGTTATCGGGCCGAGAGAGATGGCCGATACAGCCGTTACCTTTCCCACGAAATCAGGTGTCGTGTTAACGTACGGTCCTTGATGTTAAACATTTATATCGCGGGTGGACATATGATTCCGAAGCGTTATCTATAGATCGGCGGTACTTTGTTCGCGCGCGAATCGAAAGTAATGTCCGTGCCGCTGGCGCGGCGCGCAGTTTAGAATGCGTTTAGAATGCGTCTGAAGTCGTGCCTGACGCCTGAGAGTTCGCATCGGAGTGCGAAACGCGGCCAGCGACGTGTTTTCAGAGATGTCGAGCGATGTGCACGAGGCGCAGGTAAAGGAAGAGACACGTCATAAAAATTCTACGTAAGAAAAATAAAAAAGCATTCTTCACCGAGGATCTTACTCGCCGCTAAGCTTGTCCGAATCGTTACTCCGGCACGCGCGACATAGGCAAAAGAACCAAATATACATAGGCGCGATAAAAAAATACTACGTAGAGTAAAAAATTTTTCGATCGTCGATGCACGCTGAATCTCACTTGGCTAATCGTTACCTTGGTCACGCGCGAATCGCGGGTCTACCAACGAGACGGGATAATACCAGTTCTGACGACCGCATCCTGCCGCAGGACGCTTCCTGTTACGATTTTTCGTGCGGAGTATCTTGGCTTTCTATCCGCGGTCAGTTCGATTTGCCTTTCCTCCTCGCGGAAAGCTTTCGCGTCAACTCGGATTTAGAAAATTCTCGCGCTCTTTGTCCGCGCGCGACAATCTTTTCCCTTTATACGGCGATAAATGTCTAAAAATATCGCATTCTGCGGGGCGTGACGCGCAATGGACGCTCCAGGCAAATTGTGCGCCGTTCGTAGAACTGTGTCACGTGTAACATTAGCTTTATCGACGATGCGACGATCGTTGGGGCAAGCGACCAGCATTTAGTTATTAGATACATGGGAACAAATTTCGATTTTCGATTGTAATGAGAAAACGAATCAAAATAATATACTGGATAAGAATTTAAAAAGTAAAGAAAAATACGAGTGCATTAAGTCTCGTATTTCGATAATGGTCGTCGAATTTCGTTTCTAAAAACGACACATATCAACACGGTGTTACAATATGTGAATGGGATAGACGTGTAGGGTCACTCCTCTGTGAGACTCCTCTGTTTTTTACGTGTGCGCACGTGTAAAGCGATTTTCTTTATCTCACGGATCTATTTACGATCGAACAATAGCTCGATTATTTTCTACGCGATGAAGCAGCGCGTGCCAAGGTCAGGTTTCGTTTCCGCGAGCCGACGAGCTCTCGCCGTCGTCTTTCGCTCCATTCGTTCCATCAGCGACGATCCGAATCGTCGTACCAAATACCGAATAATTTCAAGACACAATGGTGTTCTCTGATATGTAAGGTACATACATCTCGAGAATCGGATTCGGACTATCAGGACAAGTCGATTTCTGTTTTATGCAGGATGGTATTGGATCCCAAGGCCACCAGTTTACACAACGATTACGGAAGCTTCGATCGACCGTTGGGCGCCGGGGAGGGCCACGAGAGGGACGTTGAGGCGGCGGTTGATGGAAGCAGCAGCGGGATGGCGCAGTCCAGTGATGTTTATCAACGGCAACCACTGTTGCCCGGGGCGCCGTTGTCCAAAAGCAAGGACAAGTGGTCCGGAGTGGCTTCGGGCTCGGACTACTACGAGGATGATGAGGATGAGAAAGGTATCGAAGGTCTGGGCAGACATCCCGGGATCCCGAACGGTTCCGGGAGCGGCATCGTCAAGATCGACATGCCGGCGCCGCTTCGCGAGGAGCCGCGTTTTCCCAAGGAAAAATGGAAAACGTTTCTTGGTAAGAGAGAGCGCGCGAAAGTCAGAGATTCGTCTCTCTGAAGAATCACGTCTATCTTCTTCTATGCGAATACTATACTTATACGAAGGTAGATGGAGAATCGCAGCTTTATTTTGAGGACAGAAAGATAATATCATAAGAATCGTACTCTGTAAAATCAGTAATATAGCGATTCCCTTGCCTTTTTGGGGTAAAAGATAAAAGAGATAAAGAGTTGAAGGAAAAATTAACGTCGCTTCAATAAAACTATATTATATTTAATATTAATATGCTACTATTCATTCCGAAATTATATAAAATTTGTAAAATAAATCTTAGAAATGAGAAAAAATGTAAAGGATTCTGGCAATTGCAACGAATAGATTTTAACTGTTAAACAAAAAAAGTATGCATTCGTTTAAATACCAAGTATTTTCTCTCTCTCTCTCTCTCTCTCTCTCTCTCTCTCGATCTAATCTATTTACGATAAAAACTTTTGAAAGCTTGGCAAGCTCATCAACTTGAAAGTCTCTCCGGTTTCACCGCGTGTTCGTATGACGTTCGTTCGCGTAGCGGGACTCCATCGAGATCGAGGTCGTTATATGGCCTAGTATTCGTTCGATACACCAGTCTGCCCGCGCAGCTTCATCTCTCGCAGAGAGCCCTCCCTCCAACTCGATCTCTCCTGTCCTACGGAGACGTATCCTCGATACCGCGATTTATTTTCGATAGCTTTTAGCTATTTAGAGTTAATCGAATCGAGCAGCTGGATGCTTTTGCCGCTATGCTATTTGCAAAATATATGGCAAATACACGGAGCAACGGGGTTTCGCAAGTCCCGTTATGAAGTTCTGTTACGATGATGCAGATCGTCGTGCACGACAGAGTCGATAAGAGTAATGCCAGAGAGCAGTTATTCTCGAGCATCCTCCGAGAACGGAAGAAGCGACGTATGAAACAAGAAAGTAGCACGATGATTACATTTAAATAGAGGGATGTTACAAAGCGATATATGTAAGCTATTTTCCGTTACAGCATTTCTCTTTATGGTCGTAAACTTCATACTAACGACGGCTTCCCTCGCGATGGTCCACGAGCGTGTTCCAGATAGAAACACGTACGGACCGCTTCCCGATATAGTGCTGGACAACATCACTGCTCAGGATTGGGCGCTTAACGTCTCGGAAGTTCTGATCATGATCATGTCCAATTCCGCGATGATTTTTATTATTTTTCACAAGCATAGGTGCGTAAAAAATTTAGAGCAAGTAAATGGACGCCGGATAATCTTTTTTTAAAAACGTATCTTGCCCTAACATTCAGGTTTATAATTTCAGATTTATAATAGCTAGACGAATATTTCTGCTGATGGGTTTTCTCTACATGATGAGGAGCATCACGATGTACGTAACGGTCGTACCGATTGCCAGTAAAACTTACTACTGCAGCCCGAAGGCGAATAACACCAGTCCGCTTCTCGTGACAAAGAGAGTCTTGCAACTCATCTCTGGTTTTGGCTTGTCCATTAACGGCAAACACACTTATTGCGGAGATTACATTTATAGCGGGCACACAGTCGTCCTTGTACTCAGTTACCTGATTATTAAGGAATGTGCGTATCATTGTCATTCGTTCGAAAAATAAATACGAATATGATGCGTGATGTTAACATAACGTCATAATGATTCGTGAATACGCATTCTAGATTCTCCGAGGAGATGTCAACCGATCCATTGGCTGCGGGTCTGGCGGTACTCGTCGGGGTAATTATGGTCTTGGTAGCTCATGGCCATTATACCGTGGATGTACTTATAGCTTACTATGTTACTACGCGTCTGTGGTATATTTATCATACGCTAGCCAACAATCCAAATCTCAAGGTATGTTTTACTTTCGAGCGCGTCTGTTGAAAATTCTGTTTTATGATAAAGATGATGCGTTTGACAATTGATAGTTAATATTATTAATCAACATTACGTCAGTTTTACATTAATTATGTCTTTACATAAAAAATTATTTAATATAATAAATTTACAAAAAATTATTTAATATAACAAATTTCAGTTTTAATATTATATATAAAGTAACGATCAATGGACATATTCGTCTTGTAATTTCTATTTCGTCATCGCGTAGGAACAAACAACTCAATTTTTACAGCAATACGGACCAAACAACTTTTTGGCCCGGCTGTGGTGGTTCCCCATTTTCAAATATTTTGAGAAGAATGTGGGCGGCACAGTGCCACGACAATATGACTGGCCTCTACCCTGGCCTCGACGGTTTCTTGCCAAGCACCCTAATCGAGATAGTTAATATTTATCGTGACTTCATGATAGAGGCTGTTAAAAACAAAGGAGTTATTATACTTGTTATATAATTTACACACTCCCATGCGCGCGCGCGCGCGCGCGCGCACACACACACACACACACACACACACACACACAAACATCGTATGTATAAATCTCTAGGCTTATCGAGGTAAAAGTTCGCTAAAAAAGAATATATATTGGACGTATGATTGTTTTAAGAGCGACTGCACATTTATTATTGAAGTATAAATTTTGTGTTGTTCACTTTTTTGTAATCCAATCGTGAACTGTCAAACACAATACCCATGCTCTTTCACATACAAGTATCGTCCAGCCCGATAGTTTACTTTCCATTTGGTTTTTATACAATTTATATACAATATAAAAAAATAGATAGAAGAATAGAAAGAAAAGAATTTTATGATAATGTCATAAAAATTCGAATGGAGAAAGGAAAGTATTTGAGAGTTAATATACAGTGACACATATTACTTCGCTTGAGATATTTATATTTTCAAATAGCTACATAACAAATCGAAAGTAATACGATAAATAAGTAAACATAGGACAATGCATGTTTTTAAAATCTCAAACGATACTGTGCAATAAGGAATATTTGTAATCCGTAACATTGTAGATAAACATTAAGATGAAATCTAAATCCTTCCTCCAGACGAATTTTTGAGTCATATTCTCAATTTGAGTCGACGTCTTGACTTCCAGTAATCTAGATGTCGTCCCTGACTTTGCATTCGCGAAACGAATTATTCCGGTGAAAAACGATTTTGCAGATAAATTTGCCAAAAATATAGACTCGCGTGATGTATATACCCTTATTAAAGTTCCATCTTGCCTTTATCCTCGAAATTGTTTCCTTCATACTTTGTCAAAGAGAAATAGCCACTATCCAGAGACTAGAAGCGATTGTGCAATTTCGTGGGACCAAAACAGGAACACTCAATAGTAAATGTTAATTCATTGACAAATTAATGTGTAAGCACATCGAATTATAACGCGCACGACATGATCATACATATATACCGCAACATTGACAAAAAGTTCTAATAATATTATCATTAATCACAAATTTAGTAGGTTTCGTTACATTACCTGATATATGGCCTGTTATGGATGAAATTTGGACTTGTTACCTGCCACATATACAAATTATCGATAATTATCGATAATTATCGATTCGTTCTTCGAACGTATAGCCTGCCACACATTTGAAAAAATTTATTTGTGAAATTTTAACACATCTAGAACAATGAATTTCTAAAGGATACATCTCACTCTTCTAACTTCCATTAATTGATATACATGAAAGTATCCTATAGAAAATAATGAAGGAGAAACAGCAGAACAAAAAGAAGAAAGTACTGAAGCATATGCCGCATTCGTGTTTTCACGGAATAAGATCGTTGTACGCTTGTGCATACACCGGATGTTGTCATACATATATACATATTGCAGAGGCAATGTAACAAATCATGCAAAATGTAAAAGGCAATTTTGCATTCGTGGAGAGATCGAAGTATTAGAATAGATCGATCTTTCGTACGATTATCTCTTCCTTCGTTCTTCTCACGTTTCATTGTTTCCTCACATCTCTTGCCTTACTCTTTTTTCTTATTTGAGGAAAAAGAGTGATATAATTTAATAATATTGATAAATATATCGCGCTTCTTGAATAGACGATTATGAGTCTCAGTTAATAATGTACAAATAAATGGTGACGAGTCGTGTGACCATTCATTTTCCTAGTATTCAATGAGAGCTGCGTGTATGTTGCATGTGTGTTATAAAAGTCGAGTAACATTTAATTATCGTTTAAATTGTGTTAACATGATGACATGTTAGCTCGTCCGTTCGTGATTCATTGTTGAATCTCTAATATGAAACGCACTTGCAACGCTTCACCATTTTTAATTGAATCTTTTGTTATCTGTTTTGTGTATATAGTTTAAATAAAATATTTACACAACACTTCGCGAAAATTTCCATGCAAATCTATATTTTTATTACATAATTAGATGAAACAATTGGAGATGCGTCAGATTGTACAGAGCTGATTTTTATTATACTTTTTTTATAATATTCCAATTACAATCTGACGCGTTTGATAATTGAATAATTTATGCAAAACTGACAAAGAAGAAGAATGATAAGGGAAGAGAAATGCGATCACATTGTTAGTAGTGTAATTAACTCTTTTCTGTCTGTGATGATAATTAAAAAAAAGAAGAAAATCGCCGTTGTGTGATCTCACGGTCTTAATAATATAGCGATCGACTGGCGAATCAACATCGTACGATGTGACCCTTATGGCCACTTGATACTTCATCTTGACATTCAAATTATAAATGCGTGTAACTGTTGAATATATATTTTAATAAGATCAATGTAGTTTGTGGTAAAGTTTCTGGCTCGAAATTTGTGCAGCGCATTTGACGAAATAGATAATGCCGTATTTAGAGGTATATTTTTGAAATATATGCATAATGTACATAGACGGATTCTCAGCTGATATATACGTACGTATAATAGGACGATAGCGTATCGATAACGATCGCTAATCGTTACACGAATGCGAGAATAGCGAACACAGAGAGAGTACATATATTCAGATATTACAAATATATGTTTACAGAGATGGTTATGTATCGTGCGCGAATTTTCTTGTATGTATGTATGCGTGCATGTGTGTATGTGCATAACGCATATTTGCAATGCTATTGTTGCCCTTCGGAATGGATACGCTTTATACGCGATAAAAAGAATTTTGATGTGTAAAGCTTAGGTCGGCCCGACGTTTATGAGAACGATATTAGATCTCTCGGATCTATATTTGTATAAAGAAATATAAGCCAAAAGATATACTCTAGAGTATGCGTATGTATAAGTATTTCGCTGACGTGACATGTGCATATACTTGTACGCATATATGTACGAATATGTATTATAAAAATTATATATTTACACGCACACTGATAGGAGAAAGCTTTTTCTATTAATAGAAGGGCTTCTCGTGTTGATGTTTAATTATATAAGATACATACATACATACATACATACATATATATGTGTGTGTGTGTGTGTGTGTATATATATATATAAAGAGTTCGTATACACTCGTATATATTATTATATTACCGTGGCATTTGTACGCGGATATGATTACATGTTTATATGTATATACATATATCTATATTTTTACGTGTAGATATTTTTTGGTAACTTGTTACAATAATCTGAATAAAATTAAGACCAGTTAAGTATATATATGTATAGGAAAAAAATATATGCGTTGTAAATAAAGAATAGTAACGAAAGAGCTTGTGTCACTGCGTGAAAGCTAATCAAAATTTTGTTACCGTTAATTGATATATAATAGTATTTTCCGATTGTTCACGAAATATGATTGCGGCTTTGTGTATTAAATTTCTCGAGGATCGAATAAGTAATGTAACTTGATTTTTGTTACCGTATGTTGTACATAAATCTGTATGATTATTTGTCTAAGAAAACATCGATATTATTATAATGAAGAACATGTTGTATTTGGCTTTACTTTATGTGTGCGTGTGTGTGTGTGCGTGTGTGTGCGCGCGCGCGCGCGTGCGTGTGTGTTAAATACACACACACACACACACACATCTATATTTATAATATTTATTTACGTTTTTTTTCATATGTTGATGTAATAAAGTTTTAGGCATACTTGAATCATCTATATACTTCGTTTACTTTTAAGACCACTACAAATTTTCTATAATTTTGAACATTTTTGAATTTTTCTAAAAATATATAAAATTATCTTACTACACACACACACACACACACACACACACACACACAGATCAAAAATGATTTTCTTCAGGATATCTTCATATAATCGATATCTTTTGTTTCAAAGTAATCTTTTGACAGCCGCCTTTCCTTATCTAAAAAGTTTATTTTAAACATTTTTTATAAATTTACAAGTAAATTAATTCCGAGACAAAATTCATACATCTTACAGTAATTTTTGCAGTATTACTAAAAACGTGAAATAAAAATATACTTTAATTCTATCTTTATTTTATAATTAACAATTTTTATCATGGGTTAGGTAAATGCATATTAAATTTTATAAAATTATCACAACTGATTAGTATTATTGTATAATATTATGCCTTTCTGTTAAATCTAACTTATTTATTATTTACGAACAAGAAATATACATAACGTATATACATTTGGATTATCTGAATATCTCAAGAGAAATGTCGGAAAGTCGATCTTTACCCAAGTTTGAAAGCACGGAGAATTCTGGTGTTGGCGAGGGCGATGCAGGGAAAACTGAAGGAAAAAGAATACTAGTTCCTAAGGGTTTCGGAAAACGATGGCATCACTTCCGAGTTGTAACACCACGTTCATTCATTCTTCGCGGTTCCCGTGCTATGAGTGATCATAAGTTTAAGTACAAAAGCCGAGGACGGCAAGCGGCACCGTGCTCGGTGGTGGCCATCGTTTACGGTCATCTGTTTGAACCGAAAGAATGGACGAGTGATTATGTTGATCAAATACTCGAGTACGGTGATAAATTGTTTCGCACGAGCCTGACGAAAAATCAACTGAAGCATGAAGAATATATGAGGCCCAATCTCGTATATAATGAATTTTATATCGGTTTTTACAAGATCCTGGTGAATATCGAGGATAGTGGGATCCATGGCAATCTCTTCAGCGATTCCGTCGGCTGTTCCTTTGCCGAAGGTGTGCAAAAATTTCTAAAAAGCAATGATTCCGGTGTAATCACTGCTCAGGGTAATTCTGTCGCCGTGTGGCGTCACTCTACCGATGACAGTTTTCTTTATTACGAACCGGCGTCATGCGATGAGACTGGTCTGCGTTATCCTGGTGGTACAGCTTGCCTGATGAGGTTCAAAAGCATAGACGATTTGTACGATCATTTATTGAAGAATCTAAATCGGCGTTATGACTCTCGATATTGCATCGACAAAGTCATCATGTTGCGCGCTACAGAGGTAGTAATAAAAATAGCATATGTATATATATATATATATACATACTAA